AATACCATATCATAATTGTAATTTTATAATCTTAAGGAGCTATTATAACTATAGTATTACTGTTTTGAAAGAGATAAAGTAATATTTCTCATCCAAGCAATGATTTTTGGGATCAAATTTTAAAACAAAATTATGATCATGTGGTCTATGTAAATTCCACACCATAATCAATGAATGCTATAAATTTGTTCCAAATTTTGGTAGTTCCTCATAACCTATTTTTTTATTATGTTGAATGAATTATGTGTGAATGGCAATGGATTTATTATGCTGTTTCACACCCAAAGGCAATTTTTTTCTATTTAAATATATCTTGTTATTTGTTTTAAATGTAAGTGAATGAATGAGAGAAGATTCTTTTATCATTTGAAGGATGAGATATTGGAGAAAATTCAAACAAGCTAACAACTCATGCACCCATGTTGGCGCAATGGCATCAAACCTATGATCTTGCTGCAACAAGACAGTAAAATAGTGTGGCAAGCAAGTTGTATTTATGGCACAAAATGGTGGAGAAACAAAGCTGCTTCAATGGAAAGAGTAGTGCGGCAAACAAAGTTGCGGTATGGAAGCAATAAAAATGAAATGCAAATGCAAATGCAAATGTGAGTTGCAAATGGAGGCTGCAATTAGGTCAACAAAAGTGCAGCAATATAATCGTGTTTTTAATGTACCTTTTATGTTACTTTATGTATTACAATCTTTGATTATGTGATAAAGATGATAATGTGTATTAAAAACAAAAACAAAAACATAAAAAGAAATGGCAAACTCAAATGTTCTCTCTCTAACTTTTCACTCTCCTCAAGAAAAGGATCAGCTTGATCGAAGTGTGAAAAGGATCAAAAATGTTAATCTAATCGCTACTGCTCCATCTAAAGAAGAGCATATGGTGGAAGCTGCAGCCAATCCCCAGTCCTATAGAGACAAACTGATCTGCGATGGCTCTTTCGAAACTCCCGATAAGGACCTTTCTTTTGATGCCATTCTTGAATATCTTGATGAAGACTCGAATATCGATGATGATCCAAATGACCCGACGCCGATAATCCTCTTCTCCAAAGAGGAAAAAAGACACATGCGCGAACCATGGAAAAATGCTCTTATTGTGAAAACCTTTGGCAAGTCAATGGGTTATAATTTCCTTTACGGGAGTCTCAAAGCCCAATGGAAACCAGCAGGTAAATGGGATTGCATTGATTTAGGATATGACTTTTTTCTTGTTCGTTTTCAGGTACACGAAGATCTTAGTAAGGTCATCAATGGTGGCCCCTGGTTCGTTGGTACAAACTACCTCACTATCAGACCATGGGAACCGAATTTTAAGCCTGAAAATGCCACTTTCTCACACATAGTGGTGTGGGCACAGTTGCCGGGCCTTTCAGCAGAATACTATGACACAATCTCCTTGCAACATATTGGCAATGAAATCGGAACTCTTCTCCGTGTTGATGCCCATACAGCACACCATACATGTGGACAATATGCTCATGTGTGTGTTAGAATAGATTTGAATAAACCCCTTGTAAAGCTTCTTAGATTGGGCAAAATTCGTTAGAAAGTTGTTTATGAGGGGATTAGGGGACTCTGCTTTGTGTGGGGTCGAATTGGCCATCGCAAAGAGGTTTGTACCTTTCAGTATAGGCCATCTGCAACTGCTAGTGTCATCAATTTTGATCTCCAAAACCAGGCAAACATTAATGAAGATGCTGAAATCAATGTCACGGGTTGCCACAAGCCGGAGGCTTCAACCTCCACATAAGGGGCAGGAGGCATCCACGTTGCTAGCAACAATCATGTCCCTAACTACACTGCAGAGCCTAAGCATAGTCGGGAAAATCAATCTGATGAATTTGGTCCTTGGCTTATTGTGGAGCAAAAAAAAAAGAAGAAAACCCATAAACAGGTTCCAGAATCTTCATCAGAAGGGAAAAGCAACGAGCCCAAGGTATCTAAGGGCCCCACAGAATTGAACCAAAGATCGGGTTCGATGAACCAAAGATCGGGTTCGATGAACCAAAGATCGGGTTCGATGAACCAAATGGGTTACAGTCAATGTTTTGAAAACCGACTCGGAGGTCAAACCATTTTGACCTTCGGTTCTCGGTTTGACTGGTTTAACCGTTCAAAACACTGGTTTAACCGCATATGAATAACTATAAGATGGTGTGATGATTTAACAAGGCAAGTGTAGTGGCTGGACTAGTTTGTCACTTCACCCATCACTATGGAAACGCGTGTTCGAACCTGGTGGGTGTCAAAATGTTATTATCACATTTCTAAACCTTTCAAGTAACTTAATTTT